TTTGACTCATTTACAATGACCCTTGAGATAAAAATATAAATATCTTGATGCCAAACAAAAATGTGTGTTTTACCTACATGACATGGATGAGACATATTTGATGCGCAAGTGAAATGAATTTTTCCAAAAAAAAAAAAAAGACAGCATTTAACAATATTCTTTACATCTTGGCACTGCATATTTTTTTCTTTTTCCTATTAATTTCATATAAAATATCATTAGATTGATACACCCTTATATTATTACTGACCACTTAAACCATATCCCCCCCCCCCCCCCCCCCNNCCCACCACAGCCCAATCTCTGTGACCCTGGGATTAGTCATGCAAGATATCTCCGTCTTGTAGAGGAAATATACCTGTCTGCCCTTTTCTCAGAGCAGTAATCTTTAACATACAGCCACAGAAGGCAGTGGTTGGACCATCAAAAGGAAGTATCAAAAAACAGCTTAACACAAAGAGGGAAAAAAATCTGTACAAAATGCTTAGGTCAATGATAACAGAGAAAAGTCTGTTTTCTATATTACAGTTTAAAATCCAAAATTGGGGATAATCCCCCCTCCCAGCCTGCCCCTGCCCAGCTCACCCAGATGTCTGCATGGAAGATGTGATTTTTTTTTTCTTTTTTTAAAGCAAGGATTACTAAGTAAAATACATTTGCAGCACAGTTTGCTATTCCAATACATACAGCAGTTTTTCTCATAGCTATTTCATAGTTAATACAAAGCAGTCGCGATAAAGCAAACATCATAACACAAATGTATTTTTTGATCTTAAAAAAAAAGAGAGAGAGAGAGAGAGCGAGAGAGAAAGGGGAAAGGACAGGGGCAAGACAAAGGCTATACTGACATGTATGTACAACCTAATATTGGAACGCCCTTAAAACAACCCATCAGTACATCAGAGAACAGACTTTGACAAGATGAACGGTGCCACACACAGCTGGGTGATATCTCAGTGAACAAAAGGCCTGAGGTTTGGATTGGTTTGGCAAAAAAAGGATGAAACCTTTAAGATAAACAGGCTCTAATTTCATTTTCTTCTTTTTTTTTGTAATTTTCTCTCTACAGTATCAGACTACACATGCAAGACGTACAACTAAGTGCAACTGAGTGAAATGTTTGTTTATTTTCTTCTCATTTAATTGAATCATTCCCTATAGGTTTGAACTGAGGTATGCGTACAAACGGTTTTCTCATGCTGTTATCTTTAGTAATGTCGAGCTACAACATGCTGAGAATGTTCTAATCTACCAGCGCTTTCCCTCCTTTTTCAATACCAAACAAACCAGCCAGATGACTGGGGGTTTGTGGATGAGCTCGGCCCTGTTCTCACGATCCTAGCCCGGCTGTAACTGACCCGTCCCACAGCTGCCTGGATATTAAATACATCTTCTGGAAACCACAGATTGCCCTTTTCCTTTTTTAATTAATGAGCGGTGAACTTAAAAAATATAATAATAATAACAATAACTGCCATAAAGTACCTTGTACCCAGCTTATTAGTTGACAGGAGTGTTTTTTAATATAAAAAGTAATAAGTTGACAGAAACTAAACACAATCATAAAGTCTTGCCAATCTTAACAAAGACGCTAAAACCCCTAAAAAAATGGCATACAATCATTACAAAGGATACAAATGAAATAAGGAATAAAAGAAGAGAAACATTGAATCATTGTGTGGTCCAGTTGAAGTATAGAATCCGTTTCACATTGTTCTCTGCAAAGCTTTTCCCATTTACCAGTATATTTTTCTTTTATCTACATACCCTTTATGTTGCACACAAATCTGTTCCTGACCAAAAAGCTCCCTTTTCCACTCACTGGCCCAAAGACAAAAAAAAGTTTCCCTAATTTGGTCATCATGTAGTCAGACTGTCAGCGCCTCCCATTCAGTTTTGGTCACTGCAAACATTACTGCAGCTGTCCTGTTCAAGACACCCCCTTTGGTTTTTAAAAATGAATGAAAACACCAGTTTGAGGAGCACTTCCCTCGATTCGATCTGCCGCTGGCTCGATCGCAGCTGCTGAGATCGTCCAGCGGGAGAGAATGGAGGAGAGATATTTGGCCTTATCTGCTATTGCATGGAACACACAACATTGACTTTGTAGTTTATCTTTGGTAGTCACAGAACAAGATATTCAAACACATCAACAACTAAAGAAAAAGCCAAATAAAACATGAAATAATAATAACACTAATAATAAATTAAAAAAAAATTAAAATTGGTTGATTGCAGTCTTGAAATTCATAATTTCTTTAAAAATCTGACTCCCTACCAAAGCTGGAATTTTTGTTGCTGCATTACAAAACCACATGTGGATTCCACTCGGTTCAACGCTGTGGACTACAACTATTGGCTTTTTGGGTGACACTGAACGTCGAGGTATCCACAGTCCCTAAAATGGCATGTACTGTATGTTTGGGCCCTTTATGATGGCTGTCAAATGCTGGAATGTGCAATGTTTAGATCTTATTGCAAGTCTTGGGATTCTTTTTCCCCTTGATGAAAGAAAAATGAGCATTTCATCTGGTGTGCAATTATTAACACTCACTAAAAAACTTTAAACTAGTCATGCGCGTGATACAAATAAAACTACAGGGAATGCACGTTTATCTTCGAGCACTGAATAAAATTACGGCGTGGAAAAGCAGACACGTTTGATTAACAATGACAGCTGTGTTCAGGAATCACAATTAGTTGGTCTAAATCATTATCTTTGCCGGTGCACACCTGACATTTTCATTTTCCTTTAAAAAACCCGGAGCTTGTGGGTGATCAGAAATTCTGTTGCAGCGCAACATGCTCTGCCGTGAGGGGCTGTTTTAAAGTATAATTTCATAAGGATAAATCATAACCTGCATGATTTCTCTGTCATTCATTCGCATCTTAAATTAAACTTCATTGATGCGTGGAGAGAGCCTTCATTATGAGTAGTGCATTGCCAATGGACTTCATGAGCAGGAGGAGGAGGATGAGGAGG